ACCCGCCGCGCGGGGCCCTCCACACCTACCCGTGGATCCCGTGGCCCCTGCGCACCACAAGCGTGGGTGCCACCCCGCGCACGCACGGGGAGCCCGAATCTGCCCCCCTCCCATGCCCACGCAGTCAGTGGCACAAACCCCTAACCCCGGACCATGGACGCGCAGCCCGGGCCCTGCGTGTGGGCGAGCCCCGCAGCGGGACCAGGAACCCCGCGCGGCGCTCACCGGGGGGCTGCAAAACTCGACGTCGTCAGGCCCCGCCCGGGCAATGGGAACTTTGTCGGAGCTCTCCGTCATGGCGGCAGCGGGTGGAGAGAGGCACTCGGAGACTCCCCGCGCCCTGGGCTCTGTCCTGCTGCCCCGACGTGCCGGGCACTGCAACGCGCGCTCACACGGTGCACGGTCCCGCCCGGGCCAGCCCCGCGGTCCCCACCCCTCCCAGCGCCTCACCTCTCCCCTCCCTTCTCTCTCCCGGGCAGCAGTCCGAGATCGTCCTGCAGTCCCGGATGTCCTCGCTTCTCCCCTCTCCCGTCTACAGGCCCCAAACAGCGTCCCAGGACATCTGAGTGTGCCTGGGTGGATGAATCCCCGGGAGCAGGATGCTGAGTCCTGGAAACCCAGGAAATGCTAAACGGCTAGCATTATTAGCTAAATGCTAATCAGCTGTCCCTCCAGGATCTCTTAGAGTGTCAGAAGGCTCTGCTGTGCTATCTGGCTGGAGGCCCTTTCCTGCAGGGTCTTTGTATGTATGTATTGGGGGTGCTGATGGAACAGGACCTAGAAGAGAGCAGAATAGGGACATTGGCCTAAGAATGCCAAGGTTAGGCCACCTGACACTGGTCTGGCATCACTGAATGGCCCCTGGGACTACAGCATGGAGTAGGGTCTTGGAGAGGGCTCCTTGCCTCCAGTTTCTTTAGGAGGGTGGGCACCACTGAAGCCAAAGTGAAAGCTAAGCAGAAGGAGACTTGAGGGGAGAAGCTGGGGAGACCAGAAGAATAGTGCCTTCTGGTTGATTGAATAAATTAAACAAGCAAACGAAAACAACAATGGCAAACACCCCACCACTCACAACAGTGATGTGTCCAAAGGAATAACTAAATATGTATATGTATATGTGTGTATACACACACACACACACACACACACACACATGTGCATAGCTATATCCCTCTCTCTATTTTTTCTTTCACTTTTGCATGTGCTGTCTGCCAGTTCTGAGATACATGGTACCTCATTTGGATTCAGGCTTTCTTCATTCGTGTTGGGTTCTAGCTTTGTGTGAAGTCCTCTACTGAGAAGTAAATGAGGGATGCTGGAACATGGGGGCAGGGGACCGAGGTTTCCTCAGAGGGCAGAGAGCGACCGGATGTGCTGGTTTGCAGCCGGAGAACTTGTTGAAGAATCATGGAAGACACCTTGTGAAGGTTGTGGTGACAAGCATGATGACTCTGGGGCTGGGAAGGAGGGGAGGAGAGACTTGCACAGATGAATCACTAGGGCACAGCAGCTCCTGAGCTGGGGAGATTGAGATTTCAGGCCAAGGAGGATTGGGAGAGTGTTAGGAGCCCTGGAGGAGAAGTTAGAAGGAGCAATTTTAGACATGCAGAGCTCGCTGTGGGGATTTAAAAAAGAAAAAGAGGCAGGAGAAACATCCTGAACTTGCCTTGGATTCAGATGTGGCACTACTTTTCTGCACATCCCACTAGACTTAAGGGGCTTGGAAAACGTCCAGCCATCTCCAAGTAGGACTCAGCCCTGGGGCACTGCAGAGACAGAGTTCAAAACCTCCTTTCCCAAGGGCCTTCATTGTCACAGGAATTTCGGTGAAGGGATAAAAGAAGTCGGAGAAGTGGAAGATGATCCAAGATAAAATAGCCCATGTAATTTAGAAAGGAGCGTTCAGGAAGGATGAGTCAGGTCAACAGTGTCAAATGCTGAAAAAAAATGAGCACAAAGAAAGAAAGGCCTTTGGGTTTCACAATTAGGAGGACAAAGGGAACCAACAAGACAGTAGGTCCATTGGTTTATTGGGCACAGAAGACACTTTGCAAAGTGACAGAGTGGCTAAAAATATTTGCAACTCATATCACAGACAAGGAACTAGCTTTCTTAGATACAGTTTTCCTAGGAAAACCAAAAGACCAAAAATGTAATAGAAATCTGGGCAAAGGATAGAAGCAGACAATTAACAGAAGAAATACAAACAGCTCTTAGGCATACGAAGAATGCTTGACCATGTTCATGAATGGAAATGCAAATTAAAAGTATATTGTTTCACCTATCAGACTGGAAAAGATAAAAACATTTGTTAAAACAATCTGTTGGGGTGTATGAGGGAAAATGAGGCCTTCCCAAACACTGCGGTGGGTGAGTGGGTGAATTGGTACAGCTTCTATGGAGCGCAATTTAATTCCAAAATGCAATTTCATTTCCATGGATTTATCCTACAGATGCACTCACACGGATGGAAAAACCCTACATGTGCAAGAATACTCACTGCAGCATGTTGTGTTAGAACAAAGCATTAGTAATATCCTCAACGTCCAGAACGGAAAATTTATGGTACATCCTCACAGTGGGATTCTGGCAGCCGTTTAAAAGAATGAGGCAGCTTTGGATATACTGCTGTAGAACACTCTCTAAGATATTTTATGTGAAGAAAGCAAAGGGTAGAAAATGTGTACAAATGCCTCCATTTGTATAAAGAAATACAAACAAGAATATATGCATATATATGCTCTCTGGAAAGTTAAAGAAGATGCTGGTGGTGGAGTTTGTCTCTGAAGAGAATTTGGGGCTTGGGGAGATGTGGAGGGAAAATACTTCACTATGTTCCTTCTGGATAATTTTGAATTCAAGAAATAAATTCAACTATTCAAGAAATGAGCAAATAAAATACTAACAGTGAGTGGGTGAGGGGAAAGTGAATGCAGCAAATCAAGATAATTCTTTCAAGAACTTTGACACTGAGGGGAAGAAGACTGTAAGGAGAACAGATGAAGGTAGTTAGAGCATCAAGGAAGGCCTCCCTCTCCCCTCAAAATGAAAAGACATTTGAAAGCTGATGGGAAAGGGGCAGGGATGACCAGAAGGAGAACGGAGAAGATGGATCCAAAGCAAGAAGAAGATGGACCTTGAGAACATAATGGGAGGGAGTCAAGTGATGAGTAGATGCTTTGGGGACCTATGAATATTGAGGAGAGGATGAGCAGCCGGGAAAGATACAGGACCTCGCCTCAGTAGACACATTCTCAACAAATAATATATAGGAATTATCTGATTGGGGTGTGAGGGGCGATGGATATGTAGGGAGACCAGTTGCATTCTTCTTCTTTTTTTTTTTTTTTTGAGTCCAAGTCTCACTCTGTCACCCAGACTGGAGTGCAGTGGCATGCTCACAGCCATCGCTGCCTTGACCTGCTGGGTTCAGGGGATCCTTCCACTTCAGCCTTCCAAGCAGTGGGAACTACAGGCACGCACCACCGTGCCTGGCTAATTTTTTGATTTGTTGTAGAGATGATGTCTTGCCAGGTTGCCCAGGCTGATCTCAAATCCATGGACTCAGGCAGTCCTCTCACCTCTGCTTCCCAAAGTGCTGAGATTACAGGTGTGAGCCACCACACCCAGCTACGTTCTCCTAAAGTGGCATATTTTAAACAACTTTAAGCTAGTGTGTTTACATAATAATGATTGAGAGCATAGAAGGATTAACAATGGGAAAAACTGCAAGGAAGCAAGACAAAGAAGCTCATTACTATGATTTGAATGTGTCCCCCAAAGTTCATGTGTTGGAAGCTTAATCCCTAAGGCAACAGCGTTGAAAAGTGGGATTTTTCAGGGTTGATTAGGTCATGAGGACTCTGCCTTCACGAATGGATTAATGCAGTTGTTGACAGAGTGGGTTAGTTATCGTGGAGGTGGGATCCTGATAAAAGGATGGGTTCGGCCCCCTTCTCTTGCTCTTACTCTCTTGCCCTGCTACCTACTCCCATGGGATGATGCAGCTCAAAGGCCCCCATCAGATGCAACACTCTATTCTTGGACTTCCCTGACTCTAGAACCATGAGCCAGATAAACTTCAACTGCTTATAAACTACCCAGTCTGTGGTCTTCTGTTACAGCAGCACAAAATGAACTAAGACACATGAAGAATGGGAACAAAGGGGTGTCCATTTTGTAGGCATGCTTTTCTCTGCTCACCCTGCTACTGGGCCCATCCAAAGGCTCATTCCCTGGAGGTTAGAACCCCTACTCCACTCTCATGTCAGGCATTGTGCCAGGCGTGAGCATACACTAATGAGCCAATGAGACATGGTCCCTGCTCTTGAAGAGCTCGTAGGGTAGCGGAAAAGAACGTCATTAAGCAGATAATCACAAGGTAATGATGCCATTGCATTTGTGATACACAGTATGAGGAAAAAGTACAGTTTACCCTAAGATCATATAACAGGGGAAGGGGATCAGCACCTGAGGAAGTGACATTTAGGCTAAGAACTGAGAAATGAGGAAATGCCCAGGTGGAGACAGGGGGACAGATGTGGGGAATGTGAGGGGGCAGTGTATTAGAAGGCTGTGAGGCAGTAAAGGGTTTGGCATTTGAGGGAAGAAAAGGCTGGATTGTAAAGAATGAAAGGATGACCAGGGATGAGACTGCAGAGAGGCAGTTATCTCAGCTGATAAGGTCTTCTGGCTATGTTACGAATTTTAAAAAATTTCCTCTTAGTATTGGGAAGCCATAAGGGGTTTGGAACAGTGAAAAGGCGTGGTCAGGCTTGCATTTTAAAAACATCATTGTGGACACTTTGTGGGGTGAGAATGGTCAAATTGAAGGGAGCAAGAGTGAAAGGGGTAAGCTTTTTAGGAGGCTCTTACAGTGATCCAAGTGGAGATGATGGTGGTCAGGACGAGAATAACTAAAGGATGAAGATGGGAAGGAATGAATGGTTTTGAGATCTACATTGGAGGTAGAATCAACGAGTTCTGGAGACTGATTATGAGGTGTGTGAGAGAGGGAGAAGTCAGGATGACCCCCATTTGATACATGCAACAAACAACTGGGAGATGTAGGGAGCACTGAGTAAGTTTTGGATATGTTAAATTGAAAAGCTGTAAGAGGCCAGGTGTGGTGACCCAGACATGTAGTCCCAGCACTTCAGGAGGCCAAGGCAGGAGGATGGCTTGAGGCCAGGATTTTGAGACCAGCCTGGGCAACATAATGACCCTATCTCAAGAAGAAAATCTAGTCAAGTGCAGTGCCTGTAGCCTCAGCTACTCGGGAACCTGAGGCCAAGGGTTTTAGGCTGCAGTGAGATATAACTGTGCCACCGTACTCCAGCCTTGGTGGTAGAGTCCCTGTCTCTATTTAAAAAAAAAGTCAAAGAGCTATGAAAATTCAAGTGCAGATATCGTACTTGACACTGTCAGAAAAGAAACAGAGAAGATCATCTGCTGAGATGGAGAGGCTGGGAGAGTGAGTGTGGGAGAAGTTGATAACAGCTGTATGAGGAATATAA